CCATAATCTTCTCTAGTATTGACCACTTGGCCTCCATAATCTTCTCTGGTATTGACCACTTGGCCTCCATAATCTTCTCTAGTGTTGACCACTTGGCCTGTACCAATTTTTCTAGGCACAACCATTTGGCCTTCACTAATTCTTCCAGGCACAACCATTTGACCTCCATCAACTCTTCCAGGAATGAACACTTGGCCTCCATAATCTTCTCTAGTATTGACCACTTGGCCTGTACCAATTCTTCCAGGCACAACCATTTGACCTCCATCAACTCTTCCAGGAATGACCACTTGGCCTCCATCAACTGCTCCAGTATTTACCACTTGGCCTGTACCAATTCTTCCAGGCACAACCACTTGGCCTTCACTAATTCTTCCAGGAATGACCACTTGACCTCCACCAATTCTTCCAGGCACAACCATTTGACCTCCACCAACTCGTCCAGGGACAATCATTTGGCCTCTACAAAGTCCTCCAGAAGTGACCATTTGGCCTCCACCAATTCTTCCAGGTATGATCAACTGGCCTCCACCAACTCCTCCAGGCATAACAACACTGCCTCCTGCTGTGGCTGCCAAGAGATGCACTAGGTCACAGCAGGGTCCTCGGCACCGCAAGGGAACCCTACTCTCAAGTCCCCTCATACTCACAGATAGTGACCTGGCTGATGTGCTCCTTAGATACCCTAGAGGAGGAAGGAGAAATGCTCAGAGGCTGGAAAGACTACAGTCCCCCATCTCAAACGCCCCGCCCCCGCACAAGCAGGGTCGGTTGTGGAGATCTCTCAGAAGCCCCTCTAGCACCGAGAGGCGTGCACTGGCCTTCCACTGTCCCCTGCCCCACCTGCTCTCCTCGCTCTCCAGCAGCCTGCGGTAGGTGGCGATCTCCACGTCCAGGGACAGCTTTGTGCCCATCAGCTCCTGGTACTCGCGCAGCATCTGCGCCATGTCCTGCTTGGCTGCTCTCAGGGCGGCCTCCAGCTCATCCAGCTTGGCCTGAGCGTCCCTCAGAGCTGTCTCCCCATGCTGCTCGGCATCAGTGATGGCCGACTGCAGACAGTCGTTCTAGACAGGAGTAGAAATGGAGGAGAAAGTGGCCGCAAGTTTGACAGGCCCTCTCAAAACACCCACCATGGATAGCATTTGAAGACCCAGGTAGACCCTAATCTCAGGAACTCAGAATTATGACCACCTGTGCCCAGCCCCTCCCATTCTAGGGGGAAATGCTGCCTAACAGTTTCTTTTCCTGTAGCAGAGGGGTCAGTGGGGTCCCCAACATCTTCACATACACCCAGAGGCTCAGAGCACGGTCTTTTGGGAAGCAGGGTCCTGACTGGCTCACTGAGTTAAACAACTTGTCATAGCACCTGCTAAGCCCAGGGTGAGCCCTCATCCCAGTCACTGGACACAAGAGAAGCAGAGATATGTGAGTGACTCAGCATCACCTCAGATTCAGAAAGGAAAAAAAGACGCAGAAGGCTGTCACTACTCTGTCCCCACACAAATGCTCCAGAGCAGGAACAAGATCCCCCTCCATGTCTTGGAAGGGTTAAGCCGGCTGAGTGGGGACCCAGCACGCCGGGGCAGTTCGAGAAGCTCCATGCATCCGGCCTGTGCAGAGGAGGGGACGGACTCCCCAAGAGAAAGACACGCAGCGCGCGCACACACACACATAAATACTTATGTGACCATGATCTATTCTCGTCACCCATCACTCATCACTATAGGTCTCAAATCCAGTCTCCTGCTTTGAGACACACGAGCACAAACTTGATAGCTAGGAAGCCATCACCCTTCCCACCTGGAAGGGCAGACCTCCTCAGCCTTCTGTGAGACCTCCTGAGGAGGCTTCACACTTCAGCCTTTCCGGTCTCCCCTTCCGGGACCCCACACATCCAGACACACACGTGCTTCTCCCAAAGGGAAACCAGAAAAGTGTTTAGTGTTAAGTTCCTGTGTACTTGTGGAGGGAGAGCCAAAAGAAGAGATGAGATGAGAGTTAGGCTAACTAACTCTCTCCCCAAGAAGGCAAAAGCAGGGTGTCCACCTGAACGTGGGCTGTGAGTGAAGGACTCCTGGCACTGGACGGTGCGAGGGCCCTGCCCAGAAAAGCCAGACGGGAATTCAGGGAACCGGCAGTTCAGAGGTGCCGAGAGGATCTGTCTGCAGCCTCCCCCACGAGTTACCCGGATCCCTGACACTCATCCTTATGTTCGCCACCGGGAAGGAAATGACTAGCTGTGGGGGGTCGGACGATAGCCGCTGGGCACCTACCTGCTTCCTGAGGCTGGCCGTCTGACCCTGCAGCCTCTGTATGTCCTGCCGGAGCTGGGAGATCTGCGCCTGCGCTTCCTTCATGCTGTCCCCGTGAAGCTGGGCTGAGGCCTGGAGTTCCTGGTACTGAGGCACAGGGGAACCACTGGCTGAGTCCGCAGCCACCTCTGACCCCAGAACCAGGGGCACGCCATCTTCCCACCCCAAGCGATGCCTCTGACGCTGGAGCTTTCCCAGTGCAGGTCACCTGCCTGAGATCAGGACATACCCATCTCCTGGTCTCCTGGTCTCCTGGTCTCCTGCCACGCCCCTCCTGCGCAGTGGACCAAGCCCTCTGAACCCCAAACCTCAGAGCTGCCCCAACAGGACCAGAGCTGATGATCCTCCCGGTGCGCAAATACCACCTCGAGTTGTCTGTTTGCCCTTTGGATCCAGCACCTTGGTCTGGAACACGGCCTCAGCCTCGGCCTTGCTGGTCCAGGTGATCTCCTCATAGCAGGCTCGGACCTCGGCGATGATGTCACTGAAGTCCAGGCAGCGGTTATTATCCACAGACAGCACCACGGACATGTCATCTGCCCGGGCCTGCAGCTGCCCCAGTTCCTGCGGGAGAGACAGCTCAGTGCCCACCACTGTGCCACAAGCGGGGAGGGTGCCCAAATGGCCATCCGCTTGCCCAACACCCAGGAGCGGTCCAGATTTGCAAAGTAAGGACCCTGAGGTGCTCCAGTGACGTTTGAAGTGTGGCTGGTAAAGGAAAAGACCCATGAGGCCCCAAGCCCCCTGTCCCTGCTACCCTCTCACTCCTGATGACACTTTCTGCCACACGATCGTCGTCACGCTGGTCACCTCGAATTTCCTGTGGCTAAGGAAACAGCCTCTCCCAAGTCCCAGGAGCTTCCTGCCTGAAGCGTTCCTTCCCTCCTTTACGCTTACTGATTTGCCTTTTACATCAGGCTCTTTTGCATTTCCAGCCCTCCACCCTGTTCTCTGCAGCTCTGTCCTGACAGAGTATGGAACTTGTGTTTGTTGTCTCTGTCTGCCTTCTGACAGGAACTCTGTGAGGTTTTTCCTGGTGCTTCACTGCTGAATCCTCACACCGATGCCTTATAGCTGACTAGCCAATGATGATGGCCACCCACCAGAACCATTCTAACACTCCCCCTCCTGCCGGCTCCCCTCCTGGCCGCAGGGAGCCGGCCCATCCTGCCCCCGCTCCCCACGCGTCCTCACTTCTCTGTACAGGCGTGTCAAGAAGCAGACGTGTTCTCTCAGAGACTCCAGCTTGCCCTCCAGATCCATCTTGCTCAGGAAAACCTCATCCACATCCTGGAGACAGGAGACAGACACCGCCCACTTCCTCTCACAACCCCATGCCAGTGTGTCTGACGACCCCCTTCTTCTCCGTCCCCCAGCCTGCCCAGCAACCCGCTGTGCTGTCTCCACTTCCTGCCCTGCCTCCCAACCTCTCGCCCTCTGCAGTGAGCCCAAAGCCCGTCAAAGGGCACCTCAGTCCCAGCATGCCATCCCAACGGGGGCGAGTGTGTGAAGATGACAGCCTGCCTCGGTTACTGTCTACACGCACACGCACACGAGTACACACATACACACACACACACACACACACACACACACATGCGTGCATACACACACACACACACACACACACACACACACACGCATGCACACCCCAGCCTCCCAGCCTAGGGCCAGGTTTGGGGCACAGCAGGGGCTCTCTAAATAGAGCCTCTGAGCCCCTCCCACCTTCTTAAGGACCACAAAGTCATTCTGCACCGAGGCGTGCTTGTGAGCTTCCTGGTCATACCTGCGAAGGGAGAGGAAAGTCAGGCACCAGGTCAGGGCCCAGCCCTGTGCTCTGCACCCCTGTGCCCTCCCTGAGTGCCTTGTCTTCAGAGGTCTCGAGTCAGGAGCCACCACTGACCCGTCTCTCCTTTCCTGTCAGGGGGTTGCTCGTGCCCTGCCTACACCCCTGCGTGGGACTCTCAGGCCGCATCCCGCAGGAGGTAGGCTGAGCGTCCTCCTGATGGTTTCCCAAGCAGGCCCTGAGCGGGTGACATGGGCTTCATCCAGGAAGCAGGCGGCTCTGTGACAGTCTGAAAGCCTGGCCCCTTCCTCTATCGCACCCACCACATCCCCAGGAGCCCTGGGGACCACAAAGGGAGGAGAGGACGTTTTCCCAGAATGCAACAGTGGACACCAGGGCTGGGAGAGAAGGAGGTGGCCCCTGCTCTCCAGCCCCCACCGCCCCTCAGCAGGGCTGTCCCTACCGCCAGGCTGCCTAGCTAGGGAGCTCGAAGCAGAGTCCAGCTCTGATCACACCACGGCCCTGGGGATCGGTACACTAAACTGACTGCCCTCCACCCTAGATCAGAAGACATCTGAGTCATGTTAGCCCGCAGCCTGCTAAACAGGAATTTCTCGAGAAAGCTCTCAAGGTACTGTTTAAATAAACCCTTCCCAGTCCGGACCAGACGCACGGACCCTTGCGGCTAGGCCTCGGCCCTCTGGCAAGAGATCTCAACGTTCCTCCTGGGTCTCTCCAGGCCTGGGTGGGCATGGGGGTCTCCTCTACATATCACAGGTAAGCCTGTGAATCAGGACAGAGGAAGTCCAGGGACAGGACAGGGGCAGAGGATGGCCGCGGGAGACCCTCGGGCCGGCAGAGCGCTCCACACACACCCCGAGCCACCGCAAGGACACCACTGTGGCCTACTTGGACTTGTACTCATCCTCCTGCTCCTGATAGGTCTTCAGCTCGGAGTCCAGAGCCCGCCGCTCCCTCTGCACTTCCTCCAGCTGCTGCCTAAGCCGGGCCAGGCAGGCTTCGAAGATGCACTCCAGGCCCTGAGGACTGTGGTTGCCCTGTAGCTGCTGCAGCAGCGCCCACTTGGTCTCCAGGACCTTGTTCTGCTGCTCCAGGAAGCGCACCTGCAGCCAGATGCAGGGTCCTGAGACCGCTGGAGAGGGAGGCCTCAGAGAGCCTGCGTGAGCCCTTCTTCTTGCCTCCCACCCCTGCCTGGGCAGAGGAGCCCCAAGCCCTCCCTTAGCCCACCCATGTCAGATGGAGCAATGGAGACAGGGTTCCTCATCACTAAACAAGTGCCCTCTGTCCCCAACGAGTGCCCTCTGTCCCCGAGCCCCTACCACGGAAGAGCAGAAAGACTCTAGTTAGACCAGGGCAGGACTTCCTTGCCACTGAGGCAATCAGAAGAGTGGCAAAAGGAGATTGGATACCCTCATTCTGGTTCACCTCGTCCCAGCAGTTGTCTGTGGGAGGCCCAGAGGCGGGGGCTAGGCCCAGGCTGCTTGCCCTCACCTTGTCAATGAAGGAGGCAAACTGGTTGTTGAGGGTTCTGATCTCTTGAGTCTCCTGTGTCTTCACCACCTGGAACTGGGGGTCAACCTCAATCTTCAGGGGGGTCAGCAGGCTCTGGTTGACGGTCACGGCCTGGATGCCCCCTGGAGGGCACTGGGAAAGCCCAGGCCTTCCATTCCCCTGCCCAAACCATATCCCCTGCCTGGCCTGTGCCCCCCAGGCTCTCTCACAAGAGCTTCCTCTGCGTCTCCCGGAGGAGCTGAGGCTCCTGCTGCTGACGCCAGCCCTGCCCCGTGCCCCTGAGAGGGCAGAGCATGCTGAGCGGGTGCTGAAGCCCCTCTGGGCCCGGCATGGGGAGAGAGACATGGCAGAGGCAGACAGGCCCGCAGCTTCAGACAGACTGGAGATGGTTACGGTGTGTGTGCTTCTGCCCCGGGGCCCTGGCACGGGACTTTTATCCCCTCCCGTCCCTGGGCTGGGCCCTGGAGAGCAAGATGTTCTCAGTCTGACTGTCTGCTGTTCGCTGCGGCTGACCTGCTCTGACACACCTGGGGGATGGCTGCACGGCACGTGCAGAGCCTGAGGTAGGAGACCCAGGCCCTGCCCTGCAAGCCAGAGACGAGGAAGCCTCGGAGACGTGAGCCATGGCCCTAGGCAGCAGTTGACATCACCAGGGAATTCAAGGAAGGCTTCGTGGAGAAGAAGAAAAAAGAGCCATCTGCCAGCGAGCAGACGGGAGGAGGGGGTGGGGGGAGCAGCGGAGGTGAGAACAAGGGGAAGTTCAGCTCCCAGGGGAGAGCCAGCCTCACAGAGGCACCACAGACCCTGAGCAAGCAGGAGGCCAGCAGAGGTGGTGCAGCAAAGACACTCCACAGTGTGGAAATGGCACAGAAAAGCAGGGCACTCACTCCCTCCTTTGGCCCAACCCAGTAATCATCCAAGAGACAGCACCTGCCCCGCACCGAGCTGGCATCTTCAGCCAGGATCTGGAGAGCAGAAGCCAATCCTGTAGCTACTCCTCCCAGCACTCCTCCCCAGGCCCCTCCAGCTGGGGCCAGCTGAAGCCCGTCCAGCGGGGAAATGAGAGACATGCCCCCTGAAAAATAAAGTGTGCACCTGCAGTCTGCTCCTGGGAGGCTGGGAGCAGAAACGGGGGCCCGGGAGTCTCCCCTGGTGGAGCAGGTGGAGGATATTCCCGGTATTTGCCACATGTTGGGGTCCATCCTCAGGCCGGGTCCCAGGAGGAAAGCACCCTGTTGATCCAGCTGCTCCCTGGAGACGCCTGAGCCTCAGACTTGCAGGGCTCTCTTTAGTGGGACAACAGCGGTCCTGTTCAGCGTCCTCTCCTAGCACCTGGTGAATTCTGAGGGTGGGATATTTGGGGTCTTTGAGGAAGCAAGTCCGGGAAAAGACAAACAGAAACTCAGCATACCAAACAACAGAGAGGTGCTATGAGGAAGTCATTCCTGGCACGTGGCGCAACGCCACGGGCACCCCACCCAGGCCAGACAACTGTGTAGGAGTGTTTCCACTCCCTCCAGGAGGCTGCAAGCCCCTTCCTCCATCCCCGGCCACTGGGATCACCCCAAGGGACATGAAGACGCCCTTGAGGAGGCAGGACTAGCAGAGAAGGTTCAAGCAAGGTCTGAAGAGCAAGGGAAGCCAGAGAAGAAGAGAAAAAAGACCCCAGAGAAAGGTGCTTGTACTGTGATTAAGTTAGGCACGCTGAGCTGTCTGAATCTTCTTGGCCCCACTAAGAACTCAGCTCCAAAACATCCCCGCCACTGTGGGAGGCACTTGGTGAACAAAAGCTTTGCCCACATGTGTAAGAGTGAACTTAGACCCACATCTGCCACGCGCCATAAAAATCAGCTCCAAGCTGACCTCCTCGTGGAACTTTAAATGCTAGAAGAAAACATACTCAGGACCCTACAAGCCACAGGTATAGAAAAGGCCTTTCTAAAGGCCCATTCACTCAGGAACTGAGGCCAGCAACTGACAAATGTGCTCTCACAAAACCGAAAAGCCTCTGTGCAGCAGAGGAAGGAATCAGCTAAGTGACCAGGAAGCCCGCAGAGCGGGAGAGAATCCTTGCCAGCCACACATCTGATGGAGGTTCATACCCAAAACGTACAAAATAAAGAGCTAAAACCAGAGCCAAAAAAAAAAAAAAAAACAAATGACCCCATAAAAAATGGGATATGGTTCCGACCAGAGTGTCCGCACAAGGAGATGTAAGATGTTTAATAAATATCTCACAGTGTTCAGCACCCCTAGGAATTAGGGAAATGCAAGTTAAATATGCTTTGAGGGCTGGTGAGATGGCTCAGCAGGTGAAGGCCCAGCTGCCAAGTGCAATGCCCTAAGTTCAGCTGCTGGAGCCCACGTGGCACAGAGCAGAGCCGCCTCTCACACGCTGTCCTCTGTCTCTATCGCGTTCTATGCATGGTGCACACACACACACATACACGCAAATCCACAAACACATATACACACATACACACACAAATAAATAAATAAATAGATGACAGACAGACAGATGATAGGGTGTGAAAAAACATTTTGAGATCTCATCATAGCCCGATCATAATAACTAAGATCAAGAAAACAAGTGACGAGAAATGCTGGTAAGGATGTGGCGCTTTACACAGTGAAAGACTATTATTATCTGTAGAGAAAACTGCAGCCAGGAACTTTCCGAGTAAACAGATGGAAGCAGATTATTTTCTACTGGATGAGGTAACCAGGCCCGGTCACACAGCACCACGTTTTCTCTCTAACTGTGGCTCTAGCTCCGGGTCTTTAGGCGTGTGTAAGCTGGAAAGACTGCTGAAGCCTGTGAAGTGTGAAGGGCCCTGCTGGGCAGGAGCCTCGAGACGGAGCTGGCAGGGCCCCGCTCTACCAATGGGAAATGGGGAAATGTGGTGGGGACTTTCTGTGGGAGGGAGAAGGCGAGGAGGGAGAGGGGAGAGAAGACAGCAAGGGAGACTGGGAAAGCCTAGGCAAACACGCTTTCATGCTTACTTAAAGTGCGTGTATGAGATAGCAGGGCGCGTGTGTGCATACACAAACAGTTTCAGTGAAGGTGTGCTACTTGTGGCGATAATTTTCCAAGAGCCATAGACTGTCTAGAAGAAATCGTGCCAGGAACGGGAAACCTGCCTTTGAGTTCCTGGTCAGGGGCGGTTCACGCGACTCTCAAAACAACCTCGGCCGTGGCTGTTGCCCTTTGCTGCCTCCCAGAAGGCAGTGAACAGGTGAGGCCCTATCGATGACTACACCACACACTAATGCTTAGGGAGGAGATCCAGGCTAGAGCTTTCTGGCGGCCTCCTCCGTGAGGACCGGCTCACACACTGAGCTGCTACCATGGGGAAAAGCAGGCCCCGGCTACCCCGCTGCAAAGCTTCTGCGCCAGGAAGATCCCACGACGGTGCAATGGCGACACTTTATCCCAGGAGTGACCAACAGCTGTCTAACTGGACTTGAGGTCCACTCAACAGGAAGGAATGTGTGCCTGGTACTGTAAACCTCGCCAACTGCCTGTGGCTGGGGAGGCCACCTCGCCAGTACCCGAGCCAACATAACTTCTAACTGTATTCTAAACACACGCTCACACTCAAACACAGGCGTGGCTCTCATCTCTCACCAGAGCAACGTCTGTTTGCCAGAGATGAAGACCAGGGCGGGGGTACACTAGGGAGCCAAATGCAGAGGGTCAGTGAGTGTGGGCACCCCACCCCCGACTGACACAGCTGCAGCACCTCAGGCCCGGAGAAAATCAGAGGCGAGCCAGGGGACCAGTGTATGGGAGCTGCTGTCCTCTCTCTGCAACGGGAAGCCGCCCTTTGACCTCCCAATGGAGCAGCATGAACAGAGTGGGCAGAGTGTCCCTCGTTTGCCTAAGCTGGCCTTGAGCACATGCTGTAGGCCAGGCAGGCTTTGGACCGGGCCATCGCCCCGCCGCAGTGTCTGCCGTGGCCTACACCACCACAACACCCCCCATGGCAAATGGGAGGCTGTTTGAAAGGCCGTGCCAGGCTCCGAGAGGCTCAGTGGAGTCCAGCAGAGCTAACGCTAGCGGCTGATCAGACAGCCCATACCTACACGCCCAAGCCTGAAAACCGAGTTCCACTCTCAAAACCCACTTGGGTAGGACAGAACTGACTCCCACACGCTTCCTGCCACATCCACAGGGCCACTGTGGCACTCATAAGTGCACACGGGTGAAACGATCCAAATTCACCGCGCACGAGTGTGAAAGGGTCAGAGAGAGAATGAGGACACACAGGGGACTGAGGAAGAGGAGGAGGCACAGAGCACCAGCGGCAACACGGATCCCGGCAAGAACCATCAAACCGGGTCTTGGTGCTCAGTGGTGTCCAGCAGGACACACACGCAGGAGGACCCCAGCAGGACAGACGTGCAGGTGGCACACAACAGGGCACACACTCAGGAGGCGCCCAGCAGGGCACACACTCAGGCGCTGTGCCGTTCTACTTTGTGAATACATAATGGATCTGTCTGTGGCCACCTTGGCCTTCTGCAGGAAGCACACATTTGAGTTTGTGCTATGGCTACATAGGCACGGGGAGGCTCCAAGATTCCTCAGCCAGCTTGCCTGGCTATCAGACCATTGAATTCCCAGGAGCCCCGTGCTGGGAGAAGAGAGGAGTTAAAGCCTGGGCCAGCCACGTCTGGGGGTGCCAGGGTTGTCGCCCTGAGATTGACAACTTGTCAGACCACCTTCCCTCTGGGTGAGACAGGAGCAGGGTCATGGGTCAGTCCTGGGTGGGGGCCACACTCTGGCCAGGACCGCCCAGCCACGCACAGCCCTGGTCCTCTGCTTAAACTTCAACTATGCCAGGACCCAAAGATGAGGTTGGCGTGGAAGGGGGAGTCTGTGGATCTTTGTCCCTCTTCCCAGTGCGGCCACAGTCAACAGGCAGAAAAGGAGTGGTCTAATTCCCTAGGGCCACGTGACTCGGCCTGGCTTAGCTCGGATGCCACTCGGGCTCTGGGCCTTGACAGCACTTCCCCGTTTCTCGCAGGCCGGTGGTGACGTCCTCTGTGTCATTACGGACAGTAACCCACCCTTCCTCTGCCCTAGAAGACGGCACAGCTGGCAGGGTGTGCCTGGCTCCGCGCCCGCCTGACTGGGGACAGGGAGCACTGAGCCGCCACAGGGGAACGGGGGGGGGGGGGCACTCTTAGGGAGTGGGCTCCTCACAGCTGGGAGTGCTGCTGTCCCTCACCACAGAAAGGCCTCAGCCCAGGAGAGCGTTCCTGAGACAGAGGCGGCAGGAAGAGATCTGAAGACTCTGCCTCTGTGTCAGAGGGACAGTGCGCGTGAGCATAGTGTAACT